TCAGTGAGGGAGAGCACACCAGATATGCAGCCACGCTCAGTGAGGGAAGCACGCCAGATATGCAGCCACACTCCGTGAGCGAGAGCACACCAGACATGCAGCCACGCTCAGTGAGGGAGAGCAAACCAGCCCTCTGTGGCCCAGGTTCTGGTTCCAGTCAGTGCCCAGCACAGAGAGGCCAGATCTGCGGTCAGTGAAACGAGGAGTATGGAAATGTAGGCCATGGGGTACTTCAGCAGGGAACTCAGAAGACCTAGCCTTCCAGGGGATGCCTTCCAGGGTCTCTGCCAGGGGTGTGGGCAGAATCCTCCCCATTTTAATTAATCCTCCCACTCATACCTCATTCTCTGCCTTGCCTGGGGATGCCCCTCCACTCAGTATGCAGGAGGCTGGCATGGGGTGGGGAGGAGGAGCTTCTTCCCCAGCTCCTGTCAACACCCTGTAGAATCTATGCCTCAGACTTCCTGCTGGGGAACTGGGCAATGTCCTTACAGAGACCGGTGTCTAACAGCACAAGTTAAGGGATGCCTCAGTGTGAAACAACCAGAATAGAAGAGAAATCTGGGGGAAAAGAGGCACTGACAGACAAAGCAGTCTGGGGTATGGGGCCAGTGTGGACTCCCTCCATGCCTCTCCCTTTTGGCTCCAGGCCTGCTGTCGTTCTACTGGACGTCCACTTGCCTGGGTAGAGACCCAGAGTTCAGAGCACCGGACTTGTACTCTGAGCTGACCTATTACTGTCTGTGTTCACAGGCCCTGAGCCTCAGTCTTCTCATCTGCAGAATGGGGAGGTTTCTATTCCTAGTTCCTGGGTGTTTAATATAGACACCCTGGCAAAGTAGGAGTGGGGGGCTTCAGATGGTACTGGAGTAGTGGTACCAAAGTGGGGCTCTGGAAGGGGGCTGGAGGAAGATGTTGTGTATGGACTGATAGGTACAACTGCAATTTCAAAATGTGCCTATCTCTTAGGGCATGAGATGGAGTTTACAGAGTAGGTAAAGAAAAGAAGCCAAGGCTAGCAAGGGAAGAAGCCAAGGCGAGCAAAAAAGCCTAGGTTAGCAAAGAGAAGTCAAGGCTAGCAAAGAGACGAGGCCAAGGCTAGCAAAGGGAAGCCAAGGCTAGGTGAGTGTCCGCCTGGGCTTTTGAAGGAGAGACTGACCAAGGTGCTGGTAGGCTTTTTGTAAGCAGAGGCTTTGGAGTCCCTGGAGAGATGCCCCATTTGTTAGACAAATGAGACTAAGTTCTGAATGAGTGTGAACAGTTTGGGAACCTGGGAAGAGAGGAAGCTGTGGGGTGTGTGGGCTGGGGAACAGGATCCAGGTGTGCGGAGTTGAGGTCATGTCTGCTCTTTCAGAGACCAGCTTCACAGCTGATGCCATGTGCATGGGAAGCAGTGGAAGGGCTTGTGGTTGGGCTGAAGCAGGACAAAGAGCCATGGTCAGAAGGCAGAGGCAGGTACCCTCCAGGACTTGTTCCTGAACAACCTCACACTCCTGACCTGCTGGGTAGCAGGGTTGGGTCCCCTCTGTGAGGCGGCCTGTGCTTGGCCTACAGACGGAGGACATATTCACACAGTTCTGAGTCATGGCCAAAGCTCAGCAGGCCTTTCTGTTGGCCTCGGTGACCAGTCCAGGTGTGAGGACCTGAGGAGCTCAGGCAAACCCCGCTGGGGGGAGCCCAGGCTTTGGAGCACAAGGTGATAGCTGAGATTCATTTGTTTAAGCAGTCTTAGGAGTACCCTGTGAGTGGGGCTTTGAGGTGTCCAGAGCTCCTGCCACTGGCTTCTTCGCCACATTCTCAAAGATGCCTCACCTTCCCCAGGCGGGGGAGTCTGCCTCCTTGGGTGCTGCTTTCTTCTGTCAAAGGAAGTAAATCTTCCCTCATTGATTGAGCATGTCTGTGGGTGTGTACATGGCCCATGCATTCATGGGGCGAGAGGGCAACTCACAGAAGCTATGTTCTCTACCATGTGGGTTCCGGGTTCAAACTCAGGTTATCAGGCTTAGAGGCAAGTGCCTTTACTGGCTATCTCACCAGTGCTTCAAAGAACTGAGCGGTGCCCGACAGTCAACAGCAAGCAGCTGGAACTCTAATGCCATTTGGTCAAGAGCTGGAGAAGTTGTGTGGCACACAGACTTGAGTGTCTACAGCAGCATCTTCCAGTGTGGTACAGACCTGGAGGCACCCACACAACTGAGCCAGCCTAGCAGGGTCTGTAGGCCTTCTTGGTAGCCTGGCTCAGGAAGCACTCTGGGTCCGTGCTGTTGGGTCTGACCTGTGGGTTGTGGGCTCTCCTAAGCTGTCCTTCCTAGCAAGCTGGGAGTAACATCCCACCTTTCTTAAGGCTTCACCCCTAGAGGCCCAGAGATAGACAAGTATCCCCTCCTCCTTACACCTGGAACTACCAAGCCACTTCTCCAGAAGACTAGGTGGCCCTGTCAAAGTGAAGTGCACAGCCCCATGCACGCTGAAAGTGAAGACAGACTGCTGGCCTCGGCACAAACTGATTCTATTACCTGCCTGCCTGCTGGGAGGAGTGAGGGCATCTGAGTTGGGCTGGCTTGGGATGACCTAAACATGGAAGGGGTAAGTGTACCAGGATAGGTATGATGGCACATGCCTGTAGTTCCAGTGTTCAGGAAGCAGAGGCAGGAGGATGGCAGTTCAAGGCACTCCTGAGCTACATGTTGAGACCGTGCCTCAAACATAAAATAAAAGGCTACATACTAGGCACAGGAAGAAAAAGACCAATCTGGGTGCCCCAAGGTAGGGAGGTTTCAGCTTCTTCTTAAAGATCCAGTGACATGGAAACTTGCCACCCTTACCCACTGGCTGGAAACACTCACCAGCTGAAGGGAATCAAAATGACCACAGACACTTAAGAGACTATTTATTACATAACTGGCAGGCACAAACTCCAGCACGACTTTACATGAGGGAGCAGTAACTTGAGGGACAGGGTGTTTAATGACAATAAGAAACAAGTACAGGCGAACGAGCGACGCAGTTAAACACTTGGTGTGAAGTACGTCTCATTTCGTCTGTGCAGCATTTGCTTTGTAAGAGCATGGGTTATATTCAATTAGGACAGGAAGGGAAGGAGACTGGACTGCCCGATGTAGAGGATAAAAATGTGCTCTTCTCAACCTGGGTTCTGTGACCAAGTCACTGGGGTCAGGGTAGCACCCCTCACACTGTGCGATTATAGTCCCAATTGTGTGCAACACTGGACTCAAGTCTTTGGCAAGTAAGAACCGTCATGGTGTCTTCTCCAAATGGAGCGTGGGGCAGGGTCTGCTCATCAATAGGTCCTTCATCCTCTCTGTCTCGGGAAGTGGGATACGTAGGAAGGAAGGAAGGTAGAAAAGGGAACAAGGAACAGAACAGCCGGATTGGATGCAGAGCTGACCTGTGCAAGGCAATGGGACCCACAAGCAAAAACCAGCCACCACAAGCGTTGAGACAAGATGCATTTGCCTATGGGACTAGAATGTTCTGACCCCAGGTCTCGGGGGCTCCAGGCAGGGCACCTCCTGCTGGTTCCTTGGCCTCCACCTGTGAGCTTCAGCCTGAGGACTCAGGATTGTCTGTGGATTCTGGTGTTCTTGACAGCAGCTGGCAATGCTGGACTGGCCCCTTGTTCTTTCATTTTCTACAGAGTGTCCTCTGTGGCAGGTCCTTGACTCTAAAAATTCTCTTCTGAGAAGCTTCCAACAGAGGCCTATCCTTCCTGGGGATCATGGGAACCAGCTCAGGATGGGAACCAGCTCTGCAGGGCCTGCCAGGAAGGGCAGAAGAGCCCCTGCAGCATGCAGACAAGCTTGTCCAAGACAGCGCCCGAGCTCAGGCTGGCAGGCCCCTTTCTGAAAGGCACCCCTAGGCATCCAGCAGTGATGTGGCATTTTGGGTTCTACGGACAGCTTCTGGAGTGCTGGCCCTTTCCCATGCATGCAATGCACACATGATCTGCAGAACCTGACCGTGGTGGCACTGTTTCTGGGAGGTGACCTGCACCTTATCGCTCCCACAGAACACACGAGAGAGGAGACTGACAGTGACCTCATAGCGGGTCATCACTGCCTTCCAGGGTTGGCTCAGAGGCTCGCTGGTGGCCAGTAAAGCCAGCCCTCATGTTGCAGTTTACAGACCACAGCAGAGGCTATGAAGAGGCAGCCTAGAGGTCACAGCTCACTTCCGCTTGTTCAGTGGGCATGTCTGGATTGACTGTCCACATTTCAACTAGAAAAATAGCATAAAATAACCCAAATTCCTGTTATCCTGAAAAACCAAAGCTTTAGCAACTACAGGTTGCTGTCCTTGCAGGCTGGGCGGGGCTCCCCAGCTGTTCTATGCCCTGCTGTATCCTGGTGTATACCTGGCTGGCTTCTCTCAGGTCAGGGCTGGAGCTCCACCCAAACAGATGTGGTAAGCTGGGAAGAGGATGGGCTGCAACATCCACAAGAAAGAGCCTGAAGTAGTGTAAACACCAGCACTGCCGCGGCCTGGATGTCAAGTGCTGCGCTTACGGACCTACGGGAGAATCGCGGCTCGCAGAGCGCTGAGGGTGTCTACCCTCTAAGTACCAGTGAGGGGAAGGGAAGACACTGAGCCATTATGTCTTACCTGGAAAAACATCCTTCTGGAGGAGACACGTGAAGCTGTGAGGGTCAAAGGATGAAGGACACTGCCATGTCTGCCCCTTGCAGGAATGCCAGCACCAGTTCATGAAAACAGACCCGGGTTCTTTCTGCCTGCTCTAAGTTCTGACTGAATTGTCTGGTTTGGGGGGAAGGTAGGTCCCCAACAAGGGGTGCTCTTGCTCTGAATGTGGCCAACTGGAACCTGATGCAAGGGGAATCTGTAACTACTATTTGGACATTATGAAGACTTCAGCATGACGGTAAAATCTTTATAGATAGAAAATCAAGATAAAAATATTAAATAACACAACACTTAACATGATACAAAAGTTAGAAATGGGTCATTTCCTTGTCCCTCCCAAGAGACTCACTTCCTCTAGGAAGAGGCAAGGACCCTGCTCTCCACACACGCCTAGAGATACCCCAAGTTCTGAGACTCTTGGCAGGATGGAAAGATCTACTTATTGCACGATGCTTGGAAGAAACAGATAACATTGATTTTTTTTTTAAATCCAACTCTCTTAAGAAAATGTTTACTAAAAATATCAATTATAGTTTTCGCCATGGGTAGAGAGTTTTAGGGGCTGGGAAGTTGTCGCAAACTCGGAACAATGGCGTTTAAACACATCTGATCCTGACCTAAGCACTTGGTGACAACGCAACAGGACAGGAGCTAAGCTGCGAACAAGCACAGGTAAGGCAATGGTTAAATTACGTCAAAAATCTGTTAGAAAACATGCAAAAATAATACTGAGACTTTTTTTTTTAAAAAAGTTTCAAATCATCATTAAATGTTTTTGTAAAAATCTGAAGAGTTCATGTCTAAGCTGAAGCCGGACTCAGGAGCTAGAAAGTAGGACAGCGCCCCGCTGCTCAGCTGTTGTTCTCTTTGGTGGTGATGGTGACCAGCTGTTTGGCCGCCTTGGCGATGTCATAGGCACACTGGATGACCTGCTGTGTGACCAACTGCACATCCGCGGGCAAGCTCGAGTCTCCTGGGAGGGCCTTTCTGCACTCCGACTGAAGCCGGTAGGCACTGGACGTCAGTAACCGGAGGGAAGTCCTCACTGTGTCAGACTTGGGTTTCTAAAACAAAGAGTAAAGCTGTTTGCTGTGGGCCGCAGGGTGGTCACCCAGCAGTGAGGGGCACGCCTGCCCGAGAGCAACCGCAGTTGTACTGTAAAGTCCAACGTTTTCCAGTTGGGTATTTTAAACATTACCAGCTTTGTAAATCATGGTAAGCATTAAGTAAGGAAATGCTTACATTTGAGAAGAATTTTAGTAGTATGTGCTATTTTAAGGTATGTAAAAAAATAATCTTTATTATTTATTCTAAACTTTATTCTATTGCTTTGCCTCGCGGCACCTGACTTACATATCTACGTCTTACTAAAGCTGATACTCATGCATAGTGAGATCATCTCACAGCCCTAGAAGATGTATTTAAAAACTATGTGCTATAAAATACAAGAAAAAGATGATGGGCTGCCGTACAGCTCTATAGGAGAGGGTTTGCCTAGAATGCACAGGGTCCTGGGTCTTATCCCAGCACCCTGCTCCTCACAAAGACAATATAAGGTCAGGAAGCCATTCTGAGAAACTGACTGGAAGGGAGTGAGTAGGAAGTGACTTACTTTGGGGAACAAGGCTGCCATCTCGGTAACAGCAACATGTATTCTCTCTGAGCAGGGAATGTAGCTGTAAGACAGTGAAGAGGTCATGGTTTAGAGGTGGACAGTGTAGGGGCTTAAGCTGTGGCTGGCTGTGTGCACCCCAAACACAGGCACGTGGCTACGAAGCACGTGCCTCTCCTCTCAGGAACACATATCCACCCCTGGTAACAGTCCCCAGGCCTGAAATCTGCACTGTGTGCTCTGGGCAACAAAGATGAAGAGAAACACGCACACGCAGCCTGCTCCCTTACTTCTCACAGCTATCTTCCAGATTTCTAGAGAGAGGAGCAATGGTCCCATGCCAAGGCCAACAGAGGTGAAGAATAAAGGACTGAAAAAAATCCTTAAATTCTAACTGGTGTCTGCACTTCACTATCTACGTGCTATCTGCCTGGCCATGAACGCGCACAGTTCCTCTCGTTAGGATGCTCAACAGCAAGGAGGTGATGCGTCACATTCGCATTTATAAACAGGCGTGGTGGTCTGACTTGTGAAGAGAAAGGGAAGAAGCAGGTCCGGCTTTATGCGGGACGGAGCACACGGGGCGACTCACTGTAGTATACCCGAGGCTATGTGCTACCGGGTGTAGAGGGACAAACACAAACTGATGGGGTACTGAATGACGGTTCTTAATGCAACATTGCCACCAAGCCTTGGCTATGTGTGCCAGACTTCCCCACTGCCTTGGAGGGACATGGGCACCAACAAAGTACATTTGGAGGCATTTTCTGCAAAGAAACACAGCCAAGACTGCGGTAGGTTTGGCCTGACAAAGCTGTTTGTAACCACTGTAACCACAGAATCCAGGCCTCAAGTAACATTCTTTCCTTGCATTTTTAAAACCATAACACTGACTTCTGACTAAAGACTATCAAGAGCCGTCTCTATTTCTAACTTTATATTAGTGAGTGTGTGTACAGAAACATGACCACAAGCAAGTGAAGCTGCAGAAGAGTTGGGGGTGGGGGAGGACGTAAGGGGAACTTGCTTCAGGCCACTAGAAGCAAGATGGAGGTGTGGAGGTGCAGCCACCCTAGGTAAACTTGAGAGAGGTGAAAGGGGAGGCTGTCAGCGCAGCACCAAGTACTCTGTGAGAGCACAGACCACCACATAATTAAGAAAAAGCACCCCCCCCCCAGCTACTCTAGCTTTAAGTCAAGGATTTTGAAACAATCATTTTTCTCTCTGGTCTTCAAAGGAAAGGAGGACAAATCATAAAAGGTGATGAATGCATATCTACGTAACAAATCTTCCTGAATTGAAGCAAACAGCATACTGCAATCTTTGAAGTACACGCTCAGGGCACATATTTCTGACAACCACCAGGGTGCCGTGAGTGTGAAGGCAGCTTGAAACCCCAGCCGTATATTAACTGTGTAAGGGATCACACACAGAGCACCCCACAGACTGGAGCACTCCCTCCAGGAGTGGTTCTCATGTGAGATCCCTTATCTCTGTCAGGCAAAGCTGTGAGAAGCTGTGGGCATCCTGTTCTATGCGGGAAAAAGCCACAACCTCCTTCTGCCAAGTTAACATGTACAACTGTGTGTGCACAGGGGAACCAGACTGCTCCAGAGCGGCCTCCCTCAGGATGCCTTCTGTCTGGAAACTTAGTCCCCAAGGGAAATCCCAGCAGCAGCAGTAGCCAGAAGAATCACCTTCAAGTTGTGAGGTGGTTTCCTCTCCTGCCCCCAGGGAAGCTGGTGTCCCCAGTACATGGCAGTTTTATTTCTAGATGATTTATTTTCTAATTACTTCGTGACATGATGAAAATAAAAACCCCTAACTCAAGACATCCACATTGTACTTAAGTTTCCATCCGCCCTGAAGTCAGAACGGAGCTCACGCAGCCCTGCCGGCACAGGGCACATTCGGTTCAGCTGCAGCGCATACCTGTCGTGCTTGTTCTCCTGCGCTGCTCTCAGGAGCTCCTGGATGTTTTTGGTGATCTGTTCAGTCTTCCGGATGACATCTTCTGTGCTGGGGAGTGTGGGGCTGGGGACCAAGTGGGGTTCTGCTATGTCTGGCAATGAGCCATCACCCTGCCACACCATACTCCTTTGCCGTCCCTTTCGGTTTGACCTGTGGACAGGTAAGAATAACTAAGCAGGACAAGTGCTCATTAGCTCTTTCTGGGTTTCCTTCCCCGTTTACCAGGAGTCATGGCAAGCCCTGCTTATCACCAGCACCTACAGCCACTCTAAGGCCTTTCCTTTTGTCCTGGGCTGGAGTCGGGGCTGCTAAACAGCCATCCCCAGGCAACAACAGCTTCAGACTGTAGCTGACATCAGCATGGCAGCACAGCACTGGTGCAGTGGATACTGCGTACCCACAGGAAGGTAGAGTGCACTGCTGCAGGGCACACATTCAGCAGATACTGCGGACCCATGGGAAGGTACAGCATGCTGGCACAGGGCACACGCGCAGCAGATACTGTGGATCCACGGGAAGGTACAGCATGCTGGCACAGGGCACACGTTCAGTAGATACTGCGACCCACGGGAAGGTACAGCGCACTGGCACAGGGCACATGTGCAGCAGATACTGTGACCCACGGGAAGGTACAGCATGCTGGCACAGGGCACACGTTCAGCAGATACTGCGACCCACGGGAAGGTACAGCGCACTGGCACAGGGCACACGTGCTGAGGCGGCAATGTGAGTACAAAAGACACACAATTATAACACCAGAAAGCTAAAGCAGCTGAAGACCCTAGCGGTCTGGAGGTGGCTGAGGCCTGCTGTGTGTGCTAACAGCCCTCCCTGTGCTCTCGCACATACACTGTGTCTTCTGGCTCAGTGTCAAAGGGAGTGTTATCATAGTCACTCTCCGGTGTGCTGTTCTGCTTCTCCAGTCTGGATGCCTACAACAAGAGAAGGGGACTCCATTAGTTTTGAGCATTAGATCCTTCCTCAGTCTTCCCATGGAAGCATTCCTGTCACACCTTCATACCCAGAACCCAGTTGGGACAGCAACCAGCCCTTTAGTGGAAACATATTAAGAGATGAGTAAATACTGGGTCTGTTTCTCCTTAGCTTACCAGAGGCTCCCTGAACAGACACACATGCTGACAGAGGCACACACGCAACATTTCATTTAGCTCTCAACCCAATGGAATGAGATGCAGAAAATAAGGAACGTATCAGTACTTGTCTGAAGACACACCTCAGAGCTAGAATTAACTGAGGACCGGGAGCTAACTGTTCAGCCTCAGGCAGAGTCTGCAGGTCTCCAGCCTTCTGTAGACCCCACATTACTACAGGTTTGGGAAGTCTGGATGACTGCTGCTAGGAACTGCCTTCAGGGATGGTTTCATGAGCTCTTAAGAAAGCTAGCCACGTGCCCCATGAACCAAATGGATTAGACCGGTATGACTCCTACTTGTTTCCCAAAACATTTACCTCTGAAGATGCAGAGATTCAGTATAACTGAAGGTTCAAAATGGGCTGTAGATTCAAAGCAGGGATCCCTAAAGTCATTGCAAGAGAATGGCAGCGCCATTAAAGGCAGGGCCTCTCAGGGCAACAAAATGTGGCAGGACCACATCTCCTGGAGGAGAAACCATCTCTCAGTGTGCATCTTCCCACGTGTGACAATCCCTTATGTAGAAATGAGCATAAACCATTGTAAAATCGACACCAATCACTAATTGTCTGCTTCCAGCCATGCACAGCCAGGGTCTGAACTAGGGCGGGAGCTGTGGCAAAGGCTACAGCTATAAAGGCTTAGACACACGAGACAGTGTAGTCTCGGGCAGAAAAAATGGCTGCTAGAGGAAGCTGGTTTGAGGAAGTCTGCCTAAGGTCTGTGGTTTGGACAGCTCCAAGGCCGGGTGCTCCTCAGTCCTGGCACACTTTGCCTTCTCTGTCTGTCTGTCTGCTGAGGTCCTTTATATTTCCTCTTGGATGTCCCCACCCCTGTCCCAGAAGACACTAGGGTTGACTTCTTTTTTTTTTTTAATTGTTGTTTTGTTTTTTAGTTTTTTAAAGATAAGGTTTCTCTGTATAGCCCTGGCTGTCCTGCAACTAGCTCTGTAGACCAGGCTGGCCTCAAACTCAGAGATCCACCTGCCTGCCTCCTGTGTGCTAGGATTAAAGGCATGTGCCACTACTGCTCAGTTTAGGGTTGGCTTCTTAATATGAACTTTCTTGTCCACTCCAATTCATCTGGTAAAAGACTAAGTGTTGGCTTGGAACCTTGTGAGACTAAAGCTAAATTTTTAAGCTCCTGTTCACTGCTGCAGATTTTAACCTGGCTCAAGTCAGTGTCTTACCAACACTAGAAGCCTGGGTGGCGGACAGAGGGGGTACCACATTTAGGACAGGGCAGTGAAAGCTGAATCTTGTGGGTCTGATCTCAGAACCCTAACTCCCTAAGACCTTTGCTACCTTTTACAGGGAATGTCTGACTAATCTTTATGTTTTTTTTTTAAAATTTTCAAACATATATGCACACACACAAACATATACACATACACATACACACACACAAACTCCATTTTAATTATGCTGGACAGTCCATTCAGAGTTGTTCCCATGGGAAGAAAAATCTAGAAGACAGGATTAATATCCTCTGAGCCTTATATTTTGGATTTTGAGACAGAGACCTGCTATGTAGCCCAGGTCTGCCTTAAACTTGCACTCCTCTTACCTCCTAGAATCCCATATCTCTCTAATAGATGATTTGCTTTCCCTGACATCACGGTGATAGTCAGAAACTGAATACATTACCCATAATGATCAAAAGTGCCACGCTCTGTTTAGAATTTCAGAAGAGTGAGTCACACACCCACTGCCAGTGCTCAGGAAACGCTCTTCAAGTGCAGAGGACAATCACCCAGGGTAATTACTTACGCACTAAGTCCTCCTCCGTCGTCAAAAAAGCATACAGGATTTCAATGTAGCCAGCATTTAAGTTTATGAAAATTACTGTGAACATGCAGAGCCAGGGTTGTTAAGTGCTGCTCTCAGAGCTGTTAATAGAAAAGTCACCTTATAGCTGGTGTTGCTTCAGTTCTTTATCAACTTGCTATTTTCTCTGCACAGACAGACCACAGAAACCTAAGCCCACGACAAAGCTGCCAGGAGCTCCGATGAGCCGAATGACCCCACTTATCACAGTGCACAAAGTCATTCAGTAACTGGTCCTTTTCAAGGTTCCCAAACTCCATAAATTTTAAGAACTACAAAATTTTATGGTGGAGAAGGGCCTAGTTGACTCTCATTAACAAAATTATTAACAAAATGAGGGAATTTCATTGTTATTTTTGCTGTCCTTTAACTGGATTACTGAAACAAAACCACCAAGTACACTTTGAGGACTGCAAGTATCAAAGAGCGAGAATTCGTTCGACTTCACTGCTTCAAAAGGGCTGTGAGGAAACTCAGAGACCCAGGCAGTGGGTGGGGGTCCCCATGGCTCTGAGGGAGGGAGGGACCCACAAAGGCTAGCTCTGCTGCTTCCAGTCCTCTTCCCTCTTCTTGCCCTTGCTATAGACACACTGAGCTGAAATCTGAAGGGCAGGTCTCCAACGCTCAGGGCCTCCCCACAGTCTTCCTCAAGAGGAAGCAATCTTGCTCCCTGTACATGGGAAAGCATTTTCCTTTCTACATGATGGTCCTTTGGGAACAGGGACTTTAAATACATTGCACCCTTTAGCTTCCTTTCCTAAGAGTGTGTGTGGGGGGGAAGAGACCCCTGAAGAGGAGCCTGACCATGTACTTCAGAGTGTGAGGTACACACCAGCAGAGGGATCTGGCCAACCAGTACAAGCAGACAGCTTTAAATCTGCAGCCACCTCACCTCTATACTGCTAGCAGGTATGATAGCACCGAGGGCTGGGTCTGTCAGATAAGATGGTGCTAACATAAAGTAAGTCAGTAGTTTAAAAACAACAACAACAACAACAATGGCATGACACTTTTGTGCTGACCCAAATGCAATACAATACTTCTAGTAACTGTTGCTCAAAACTGGACAGATTTGCCCTGTTATATTCAACCAGAAGCCCCCTAAATTTTCTGTTTGTTTAACAAGACAGTATGCTTAGAATGAATACTGTAGGCTGATTTGTGAAGTTGGTTAAATGGTGAAAAGGAAAAATGTGGAGTTACAGGGAAGGGAGGCTGAGTCTCTCCAGGAACAGAAGTGCATGGGTGCAGGTGCCTGCTGCTGTGAGAAACCAGGAGCCAAGCGCTGTTTCATGCAGGACAGAGGGAGTTAGCAAGGGGAAGGGACAGTAGGGCCAGCGCCCAAGCACAAAGCGCCCAGGAGCACTGCCCCTCCTCCAGGGCAGACCATTCAGAGTGTACTTAACCCTTCGGGCGCTTTCGTCCCTGGACCAGGAAAGTGTAGAGGGGAAGGAAGGCAGAGACGAAGAGGAGGTCACAAGTGCACTCCTCCCAATCTGGAAGTGGAGAAAGAAACAAGCTTGGGAAAATACAAAACAAACAAACGCCCATCTCCCACCCTATAGCTCATCATACAGAGTCCCATGAGCTTGGTGACAGCTGTGACACAGCTCCTGAGAGGCTTAATCCCTGGTGACACTAGTGCCTCCGTAAGGGAAAAGATACCACAGCTATCATAGCTATGCTTGGTGTAGCTGTCGAAGTTGGCAGCACTTATCCTTAACGCAGCCTACAATGATGCTTGTTCTCCAATCAAGAGGGACGATAAGATGTAAGTGCTGTGGATGACTAGACCCGTGCACACCATCACTCCAACTCCAGTACTACAGATAAGGACAACACAACAGCCGCACACCTGATTCCCGCTAAAATTTAGTATACTTTGCAAGTTACCAAGTGGGTTTCCCTAAGTTTTGTTTTCAGTTGTATAAAAAATAAGATTCTTTTTCACTTAGTTTAAATGCAAATACATTGTCTTCAAGCATTAAACCAAACACAGAGAAGTTGAGAAACGGACTCCTGGTTACATACAATACTTCAGTTTTTCCACTCTAAAGTTGACAAAATGAAAATCAGTTTAATTTATTAGATTTTTTTCCCCTTTGTTTTTTTTTTTTTTTTTTTTGAGGCAGGGTTTCTCTGTGTAATCATCCTGGTTGTCCTGGAACTCACTTGGTAGACCAGGCTGCCTCAAACTCACTAAGATCCGTCTGCCTCTGCCTCCCAAGTGCTGGGATTAAAGGTATGTGCTGCCACCACCACCTGACTAATTTATTATTTTATCATTTGCTTCTCATTACCCTAAGGATTTTATTGAAATTCTCTATGTAATTTGAAGAATTAACTTTGACACTTATAAGGATAAATATGACACTCTGAATAAATAACCACGTAAGGCAGTGTATGCTTGTGGTATCCTGTGAAAACAGACATCTTCATAATAAACCAATCCAGAAAACAGCATTTTAACGTCTGAAAACTTGACACCCCAACCTGCGAGCTCCGCAGACCATGAGAACCTGCCACAGGGCAGTCTCTGGAATTGGCACTTGGGGGTGGGCGCAGTTTCTATTATCTACAGCCTTGTATTTTTTTTAAATATTATATATACAATATTCTGTCTGCGTGCACCAGACCTCATTAGAGATGGTTGTGAGCCACCATGTGGTTGCTGGGAATTGAACTCAGGACCTTTGGAAGAGCAGGCAATGCTTTTAACCGCTGAGCTGTCTCTCCAGCCCCCCAGCCTTGTATTCTTTAAAGTCCGATTGGAGAGACGATTTCTTCATACAGTCCAGGCAATCTCCCTGCTTCAGCTTCCTGAGCGCTGCTATAATTGCTGCTTACATTGCATCTCTATGAAATGACCAAGCCATGCTAACTGCCCATGCTGAGGTCAGTAAGCACAGTGCTGAAGCCCAGAGTCTCTCAGCTCCATGTATCAGGTCGCAGGGCCCAAAAAGAGCATCTTTGGTCCTAAGCACTACAGTTCATAGAAGGGCATGCCTCTGACTACTCTGCTGTGTTTCTAAAAAGGTTTATTTTTATGTAGCAGTGTTTTGCCAGCATGTATGTGTATCATGTGCATGCAGTGTCATTGGAGGCTGGAGGAAGGTGGTGTCAGATCTCCTGAAACTGGAGTTATAGCTGGTTGTGAGTTGCCATGTGGGTGCTTGGAAATGAACCCAGGTCCTCTTTAAGAGCAGCCAGTGCTCTAACCATTGAGCCATACCTCCAATTCCAACCTCTGCCTATTTTGAAGACAAAGACATTTCTGCCAGTGACCTTTACAATTGGCTTTTGTTTGTGGAACTCGGGAAGGAAGTGTTACACAAAAAAATGCCAACAGAGGCAGGCTGTCTGGGAAGTCCATCATGGGAAGGGAGGAACTGAAGGGAGGGCTGAGCAAGCACCAGAATGTCCAGTTCGGCCCAGACCCTTCAGTCCACATGTGTTCATGGTCACATTGGGAGCAGTTGCAGACATGTCCACGCAGCAAACACAAGGGCACCTCTCAGAGCCTGAGAGCTACATGGTCAGAAGAGGAGCACACAGTAGGGACAGAGACATAGTGCCATTACTTACGTGAGCAGGAAAAGGTTGAAGCCTTGTCCTGTTCTCCTCAGGGCGGTTTGCTTCCCCCATTGGGAGGTATGGTTTCTGACCTGATCCAGTCTCATACATGGATATGGGCCTACTGCCCCGGGCAGATGGCCGGCGCTTTAAGGACGAGTGGCTGGAAGTGTCTGGGTAGTCAGGGCCAGTCTGCACCTGACAGGCATTGGTTGTGGCCTGCTTCCTGAGGCTTGAATTCTCACTCTGGAGTGTTTGAAGCTGAAAGAAATGTTAGGCAGTGGGCCTGTGTTTCTGCATAGTAAGCAGACAAAGCAAACACCAAGAACATGAACACAATACTGACTTCATGCGAACAGTAAAGCTAGCTGGGCTGCAAGTGAAGTGACACCTCTTCCCTCTGGAATAACCCACTTTTTTCATCACACAGGCTCATGAGAAACTCAAGTCTACCACCTAAAAAGTTGTCGTGGTGGGGTCAGAAACATTAGCGGACAAGCTGTACTCTGAATTATCGTAGAGCCCAAACATCTGCGGACAAGCTGCACTCTGCTTCAAGGAAGGGGCTCAGAGTGTTAACTAGGGCTCCTTTCACATGATCCCTGAGCCATCTGCAAGTGGGAAAAGTGACAGGAGACGCCACGGAAGCAGCACAAAGAAACTAGAGTTGCGGTGCAAAGCGAGACACAGAATGAGCTCAGCTCGAGTAAAGTCCCAGCACCTAATGCTTTCCCAAGAGCGAGACACCGAGTGAGCTCAGCCAAGAAAGCCCAGTGCCTAATGCTTTCCAAAGAGCCAACAAGAAAAATCAGGATAAATTTTTTTATTGCATAGCACTCTTGATATTCCAAGTACTTTCAAGCATATCTTTAAAAAAATAGGAGGGAACCAATCCATGGTAAGTTTGCTAAATTAATGTATCACAGAAAACTGGTAACCTATTGGACTGTGTTAGCATCTTCACATGAAGGGGCGTTCCACGAGGCACACTTGCTTCTTTTTTGGTGATCAGTCCTTTTTCTGTCAGGATTGGTGTGTCTGGCCTTTCTCTCAATTGGCTTTGTCACTCAAAACCATGCAGTCGGTGATGCTGACTTTAAATGGGCTAGCCTATCTGGTAGTAACTTGCTTTGGTCAGACAATGTCACTTGGAGGCCCTGAGTACTCTTTCCAGTTTTCACATGGATGCTGCTTCAAGGTTAAGAGATCAGCAAGAAACTGTGGGGCTGGCAACTTAAATACAAGTAAATGTATCCGTGCTGGCCTGGTCCTTCCCCGCTGTTCAGCACCGTCCATGTCACTGTGTCAACTGCCTACTCTCTGACAGAATGTACGCTCTGACCAACTGCCCTCCTTTGCCAAGGTTTAAGTCCATAACCAACTGTGTCTGCACCGGGAGATCCTTACTTTCCAATAGCAAGTTCATGCAGTGTTAGGAGTTAACTTTCAATTTTTTTTAAATTTTTTTTTTTAGAAAGCACGGAACTGTGGAAAATACACCAATAGTAGCCGGTCCTCTTCATTAATTAGCATCGTTTCCAAGCAACTGTTAAATGTGAAAGATCAGACATAAATCACACTACTTTGCCAATTCTATTAAAAACCTTATCTAGCTTTGAGATAAATTCAATACATCTTTTGCTATGTAAACCAACCCCACATCTTTGTATCAGCAGAGCCACACTTCCACAGAAGCATAGCTTCCTTGCCTGTGCTTGCAACCTCCTCTTAAAAGAAAGAGCCCCTAGAAACTCTTGCCTTCCGGGACACAGACAAGTGTGAATGGCCTGTCAGGACTATGGATGGGGAATTGGGTGGCCTCAGTGAAGTGGTCATGGTCCAAAGAGTGAAGAGTGTAAGTGATTAGGTCCCTGAGTGCAGGGCTCATGTGTCTGCCTATGTTAAAAGCCCAGTGTGGCTTCTCAGACTAGACTATGAAATTAGAAACTCTCAGCCCTGTGGCTGCCTTTGACATTCAGTCTGGGTTCTGCTCAATTGTCTTCTGAGATGAGCACAAGTTCCTGGTTTCAATTACTCAGCCCCTCATACAGGGAGTTTAATCCAAGGCCTCAAGCAGAGCCACGGCCCTGGCACACTGAGACAGAGTCCAGGTTTCTCAGGCTGGCCTTGAACTAGTTCTTAACCCAAAGTCTTTGAACTTATTGCTCTTCAGCTCCAGTCTGAAGGGGACAGATTACAAGGCTGTGTCAAATTAAAAAAAATAATTTTTACAGAGAAGATGCCCTTAGATAAACTTATCCATGTTTATCTTTGTAAGAGCCAGGCAGCCAGGCAGTGGTGCGCACGCCTTTAATCCCAGCGCTTGGCAGGTAGACTCAGGCGGATCTCTGTGAATATGAGGTCAGCCTGGTGTAAAGAGTGAGATTCAGGACAGCCAGGACTATACAACACAGTGAAATCCTGTCCCGAGAAACAAAAAACAAAAAACAAAAACAACAACAAAAAAAATCAGGCTACACTCTGGGAAAAATATGGCAGGACTCTGGGAAAAATATGGCAGGAAATAAAAAGAATTCAATAGTTTTAGAAACCAAAAGCATTTGTAAAAATTGAAGAAATAATCAATGAGGGGGCTGGAGAGATAGCTCAGAGGTTAAGAGGACTGCTCTTCCAGAGGTCCTGAGTTCAATTCCCAGCAACCACATGGTGGCTCACGGTCATCTACAATGAGATCTGGCCTTCAGGCATACATGGAAAAAATGTTGTATACATAATAAATAAATAAATAAATTTGAAAAAAAAGAAATAATGAACAATGGCCCTGTTCAATATTTCCATTTTAAAATTTCTATTTATTTCTTTGTGTGTACATGTATGTGTCTAGGTGAGTGCACAACACAACACACGTATAGAGGTTGAGAAGTTGGGCTTTTCCTTCCACCATGTGTGTTTGGGGGACTGAACTCAGGACGTCAGGCTTGGTGGTAAGTGCGTTCCTCACCCGATAAACCATCTCTCTAGTCCTTGCTCTACACTTCCTAAAGAAACTCAAGACATCTGCTTTCAGAGACATGGGTCACCTCTAGAAGTTAAAGCAATCATCATGTGTATATGTGTGTGGCATGTGAGTCGTGTGGTCAGAGGACAGTCTGGTGGAGTTCTCTCCAGTCTTTAGAGGGTACTGGGACTGGAATGCTGGTGTCAGGCTGCTGCAGTAAGTTCCTTTACCTGCTGAGCCATCTTGCCAGCCAACTTTAGCTTTCCTTGGCAATTTCTTTGCACATGTGTGTGCATATGTGTTGGTACCTTCCTCAGTCGCACTCTCTCTTATATATGGAGACAAGGTTTCTCATTGAACATGGAGCTCACTGTTCTGTCTAGTCTGGCTAGCAGCTTGCTCTGGAGACCCTATCCCTGCTTTTGTTGCTTGGCCACTGAAGGTGGACCACTGTGTCCTGGCTTTTTACATGGATTCTGGGAGTCTGAACTTCAGTCTTCACCTTGCCTGGCAATGTTTTTCCCACTGAGTCATCTCCCAGCACCATCTGAAGAACTCTTTGGACACTGAAAGGAGAGCTACAGACAAAAGGTGATGTCTGGCAGAGTGATCTACAAAGGCAAGGTGCAGGGGAAAAATCACTCCAAGAAAGTGATTTGTGATGGGGCTGGAGAGATGGCTCAGAGGTTAAGAGCATTGCCTGCTCTTTCAAAGGTCCTGAGTTCAATTCCCAGCAACCACATGGTGGCTCACAACCATCTGTAATGAGGTCTGGTGCCCTCTTCTGGCCTGCAGACATACACACAGACAGAATATTGTATACATAATAAATAAATATAAAAAAAAAAGAAAATGATTTGTGATGACTACATTAAACTACAACTTTATGTTTTCAAAAAGTCTTGCATGTTCCAGCGAAGGGCTCTTGGTCTGTTGGTCTCAGCTGTGTGCTACCTAGATGGTCATGGGAGCTGAGTGACCTGTAGGCATTCTCATTCTTGGCAGTACAGGCTGGGGCCACCTCCATGCTGATAAGCACATTCCTTGGCCTTCTTTGTCTGTAGGGTGTGATTAATCTTTAGAATCAATCAGTAATGGGTTTGGGAGGGCAGCAGGGAATCACATCCAGGAAGTAGCTTCCAGACTCTCAAGAAGGCCAGGATAGGGCAAAGCTATGCTGACTTATACATTTGTTAGGTCTTTTAAGTAGATCTTTGAATGCATTTTTTCAGATGCAAACACTGCATTTAGAAGCACACACCGCTAAATATGAAAACTGAACCCAGGGCCTTATGCATGCTAGGCAGACGCTCTACCACTGAGCTACAGTCCCTAGTCCTACTCTGGATACATTTCTAATCAGAAGTATTTCATTTCAAATAGTCATACACATCCTGCTTTCAAAAAGACAGCTTGGCCCCGGTATTTCTAGGTCTGTAACAGTAAATGGTTTTCTTCCCTCTGACCACAATCACGGTGACTAGGATTCTCCCTTCTGCTCTGGGATCAGCGAGTCAACCATCCTGGCATTTATTGACATGTTACCTTTTTCTGCATAATTCTCAGCTCGTCACTCAAGTTGTTATTCACCTTCATTAGCTGCTGTATCTTGGCCTCAGAAGCCACTAGGGCGCTTTTGACCTCCATAAACTCCTGCACAGTGACTGGTCCATCTGATAAATCTGAATCTAGGCTCTAAAAATAAATTGGGGAAAATGTTCACAATCTCAGATGATAATGTTAAAGACTAACAGCTAAAGAATTTCAATCTCTGGCCATGCCAGTTGAATTGCAAACCAAATGAGAAGCAGGGTCACTACAGTACTTCTGAAATTTTAAAGCCAGAATTTCCTAAGGAGCAGGCGGGGGGGGCTGCAAGCCTATACGACACTGACTGCCTAATGCTTGTCCTGACTTGATACATTTTCCATACTAATTTAAAAGATTATTTTTTCAAGAATTCATTCATTCCACATTATTTATTGAGCATCAAGCAATCACTAGTGAGTGGGATATATCAGTACAGAAAATAAGCAAAGACTGCTGCTTCCATGGTGTTTGTGTCCCAGCAGCATGGCAGGGATAACCAGCATCTAGTACATAGCAGCACTGCAGGTGATTAGTGCTGTGGAAACAGATACAGTGGAGCAGGGGAGGGTGCACAAGCTGCTCGGGACTACACATTAAGGAGCTGGGGTGAGCTGTAAGCAGTGTTTGAGGAGCGGAGGGCATCAGTGAGAATGTCTGGAGAAGCTTCCAACCAGCAGTGGAGCTCAGCTGGGGGAGCAGATGTTTGGAAGGAAAGGTGGGGACCTAGTCATTCAATGGAGGGTCTAGCCCTGAGGGTGTGGTAATGATCTTAGCTTTCATTAATGAACTGGTACCTGGGCAGCCCAGGCAGGGGTGTCCCTTTCTGCCAACATGAGGTAGCAAATGTTAGACACATCTCTAAGTCCATTCCCCTGCTTAATGCCTCCGGAGCTCTCATGCCTATCTTGTTTTCTAGTGTCTGGGGAGTGCCTCCGTGGGTTAGTCCTGGGGCGTCAGCCTGTGGCTGGGAGAGGCCTTCTCTCATGTTCACAGCACAGTGCCTCAGTCTCTCCCTCTGGGTCTTCTGGCCCAGGCCCTGAGGTAGCTCTGTGGTCAGCCCTTTGGATATTTTCAGCAGCCCTCCAACTTAAAACTCCTGGGCTCTGACTGCCCTCTAGGCCTCAGCCCTCCAATGTGGCATCAGACCTCTATGCTGTGTGTGACTTTTAGGTTGTTTCTACTCATGGCTAGCCTTCTCCTGAGGCCCTGGTTGTCCCTTCTCTCTGCCCAGACTTCCCTGCTCCACCTTCTTTCTGTTTAAGATCCCTAAACTGCCTAGAGGCTCTCCCTCCTGGTACTTTACAAGACACACCACCTGTCAGTGTGCGCTTTCCTGTCATCAGCCCACTTCCCCATCAGTGACATCTGGGGACAGGAGATGAAGAGCATGCAGAGAAGCCACTCTATAAAATCTGAGTGCATAAAAGCCTCTGTTCATGTCCCACGAATAGCCATGACACCAACAGACTGACTCTTCATTTGCTCAGGGACAAAAAGCATTTTTATCTGCTTGGCCTGAGGTAGCAGGAAACCCAGTTTCATCTATAGCACCTTCGAAGGGCTAACCCTCACAACTTTGCAGGCAAGGTTTTTTTCCTGGTGGTGCTGGGAATTGAATGCAGGGCCTTGCTCATATTTGGCAAGCACTATGCCATTCAGTGCCAGCCCTAGCGGGAGAACATGTTTATGAGACACACGTCTGTCCTGTGTGTCTGCCCTCTCACCTTCTGCCGGTTTGCCTTGCTTGCTCTGGTTTCCATGTCTGTGTCTTCGTCCGATGCCACACTGTCATAGTCTGGCTGGTCGTTGTCCTGGCTCTCAGTGCTGTGCTGGTTACTAACAGTTCTCAATATGAGTTCAACATTATCTGAAGATACAGAAGAGGAAAACTATTTTAGACTTAAAATTTATTTTTTCCTTCTAAAAAACTTTTAGGACTGGAAGAGAATGGCACAAATAGTATGTTATATTCTCACCCACAGAGGGCTAACAGACAGCTACACAGAGAAGGTCAAGAGTCCCTGATCTAAGCCTGTAGGGGTCTGACCTAGGTCCTCCGAATATGTTATTGCTGAGTAGCTTGGTGTTCTTGTGGGACTCCTAACAGTGGGAGTGGAGGATGTTTCTGACTCTTTTGCCTGCTTGTGGGACCCTTTTCTTCCTACTGGGCTGCCTCATTCAGCCTTGATGAGATGTACGTGCCAGGTCTTATTGTGGTTTGTTATGCCATGTTTGGTTAATGCCCCTGGGAAGCTTGCTCTTTTCTGAGGGGAGACGGAATGGGGTTAGATCTGAAGGAAAGGGGAAGGGTAGGGAAGATCCCGAGGTGAGAGAGAGGAACTGTGGTTGGGATATAATGGATGAGATTACAATAATAATGAGTCCCTGACTCAGCTGCATGGCTGGACAAACTCCGAGGTAGCCAGACTGAGGCGATAAGCCCCAGGTTTGCATACATGGAGCACAGCTTCACAGCTAAAGCCAAGATGAAGTGATGCAACTGGATGATACTTGCGACACTTGTATAGGGAATGGCAAGTTAAAGAAAAAGGAGCCAGGTGATTTTATAGGTTAGAGGTCAGTCTCATCTATACAGAGAGTTCCAGGACTGTCAAGGATACACAGAGAGACCAGGCCTCGAAAACAAACAAAAACCTAGAAAGCGCACAGCCTGGAAAACAGGTGCTCAAAAAATAAGAACAGTAGCATTATGTCATCTGAATCCAGAATCCAGGTTAACAGACAAGAGTGGACCTAGCTGACATGCGTGGACATTATCAGCCATGTCTATTTCATAGATGAGGAACAGTGACTCACAGGCTCTGACACATTTAGAATAAAAGTTCACAAATCACCTAAGTTTGTGGTTTATTTGAGGCAACTCAATATACGCTCCAATTTCTAATGCTATCTTATAGGCAGATTCATCTGGAGGTGAATTCTGGCTTAAGAGGTACAGGTGCCATTTTAATTTTTAAAATGAATCTGACTATAGGGGATAGAGACACCATTTGTGACAAGAGGGGACAACAGCAGTCTCTGTGATAAGCTAGCCTCTTTCTCTCCAGCCATCTCTCTATGTATGTATGTACACCAACAGTCTTGTTATTCTCAGTGAATATATTCTAAAAATTTGTCACTGAGGTTCTTAGAGGAGACAGAGGACTACAGTTCCCAAGAGCCACTGGCCACAGCATTTTCACGAGCCAGTCAACACACAGCCTTGTTTTACATGCTTCTGTTAAACACACAGCGGACTCATGACCACAGTTTGAGGCCAGGAAGACGCTCATCAAGTACACACCTTCCCCTTTGCCTTTTTTCCGCCTCCTTACACTCAGGGACATCACTCAACACCTTCTCCACTGTGTTAGGAGTCATTTTTTTTTAAGCAGTGAAATCACCAACAAAAAGTATGAGAACGTGGACAAGCACTATGAAAGGCACTCACACAGTGTGAGAACTGAAATACAGAAGCAGGAAGGTATAAGGCTCAACCTCAGCCATGGATGTACTTTGGACACAGCCATCTATACAAATACACTTCCCTTACAAAATTGAGACTACACCAAATCTTAAAAAAGGTATTATTTCACTTTACATCACTAAGTATTTCTGGAAAGTGTTTGTGTACTTATGTGATTGTTTCTGTAGGATTTATTATTTAGCTGTTTCTAATGTTTTTATATACAACATACATGAAACATCTCACCAGTTCTCTTTAAGAGTAGGCTTATTCTGAGGTTTCTGGTTCTTGCAGACACTCCAAACTGCACCCTCACCAATCTAACGCACCTTCCCAGATTCCTGTACTCTCCAGACTGCACCCTCACCAATCTAACGCACCTTCCCAGAGTCTTTATTCTTGGTTGAATTGATAAAACCAAATTCTTGACCAACTAAGAGGGAGCACAAATTACTGTCAGTTTATTGTCTGCCTTTGGGGAATGTACTATTGACTGGAACCTTAATTTTTACAGCATAAATATCTTGTTTAAGTGCCTCACATTTTCTGTACATAGAAAAATCGAGCTTAGAGATTTGGGCTGGCGGCAGAGGAAGTGGGCTCCAGTGTCTGCAGACAGGACGTGGAAGAGTCACTGTGAAATGGATGCTCAGCGTGCTCCACATCTTCTCATCACAGTGCTCCTGGCTGCAGAAATGCAAAGTTTACAGATGCAAACTATAATGATGTAGCGGCAGAGGGGCTTGAAAAGTAAGTGACAGCAGGGGAATATAATTGTAATCAAGAACTTTCCTTATTTATGTCCTTTGAAAAATTTAAGTTAGACTTTTGTGTTACTTTCAAGGTACCAATTTTATGGGGAAATAAGTGATCATGAAAAAAATCACGTATAAGATAAATATGAATAATATTTGATAATTTTTTGATAAAAGTTTTATTAATAAGTGAGAAAAATACAGAACTTGAAGAGGGAAGAGGAATAAAATAACAGCAAGGTTGTTTCATAAAACCTCATGAATCATATTATTTTATATTTATCAAAACATACTCTCTATATTGTAGGCAAACATGTTTGTCCTGTGGGCAAGCTTCTAAATAACCACACAGAGACTAATTAGTAATTAGAAATGGTCAGTTGATAGCTTAGGATTGTCTCTAAGTAGTTCTTAAAACTTAAATTAACCCATTTTTAAAATTTATGCTGTACTATGTGGTGGTAACTTTTTTCAGCATGGCATACGCATATTGTCTCTCCCTGCTTCTCCTGGTGACTCCACCCTTTATCACAGTGAGCTCTCTCCCTCTTCCACAAGTCAAGTCTAACCTCTCCCCGCCATTTAGCTTGTTATTAAACCAATAAGAGCAACACATCTTCACAGTGCACATACAGAAAGATTGTTCCACAATTTGTCCCCTTTTTGTCTAAATAAAAAGGTTTTAACTTTAACAGAGTAACACTATATGCAACAAAACAGTTACCAAGTAAGTATTACAGTTACAATATCTAGTCTATTTGTATTTGGCTAGCTTTTTGCTACAAAGAAAGCAAACTCCATATGGAGGTCCATCAATGCCCATCATCCTTTTTTCAAGTATATTGGTGCTGTCATGAGTATATGTATCTCAGTGCCATGAAAAGCATTATGTTATTAAAACATTTTAAATGTCATATCTTATAGATTTTTGAAGTGTTATAAGATCGTCTATCTGTATAAATGTACCCATTGATCCTTAAAAAACGTATCTAATATGACTACAAGTTTGATCCTTTAGATGACTTACTAACCTGCATTTAATTATATATCACATTTTTGAATGAGTTTCATACATACGCTACCCTAAACAAGAGTAGAAACATACAAGTAGTATCACAAACTAACTTTAAATTTCTATCAAAAAATCTGTATCAATGTAAAATATTTGAGGTTAATAGCTTTTCAAAAGTAGACTCGATAATCCACCCTTTTATCTCATCATTTTATACTATATCCCCCTCTTCCTTTTAGAAAGAGATCTTTGAATCTAGCTCCTTTGTTTAGCTTTTTTCCTGACCATGATGAATAAAAATTTTAACCTCCCCAATGATGGCAACACCTATAGCCCACCAAACAATGAAAATCTATCCACAGTTCACCTCTTGTGAATGTGGGCATCATTCTTTAGACTGATTCCTATGTCTGGGGGCACTAGTCTCTTTGTGGGATCATGAGAAAATCAGAATAATGATCAAGTCCTCACTGGGATAGTCTGTGAGGTTGGACCATCTCAACCAGCAACCTTGAAGCTGTTTTGGATATGGAAATACGAGGAAATTGTAACAGGGGTACTCTGATATGCTTTATCACCTGGAATACTTGATAACTTTGAAGTACTCTATTCACCAGGGCTTCAACAGGTACCTTTCTGTCATAATATATTAGTAACCAACTCTCAGAATGGCTAGGTTACACTTATGAGCATCTACACTGCCTGAGCATCTTCAGCTTTAGACAGAACCCTGAGCTGTACTGTGACTGCCCATCACCCCAGCTCTGGACTGAACACTGTGTCTCACAAGGCCCAGGCACACACTCAGAACTGGACACTTGCCTTTTGACCTGGACAGAGGACTGCCCTGCTGTCTCCTCTTGGCGTCACTGAGGATGTCGATGACCAGCGTAGCAAATTCATGGGCATTAAACCGAGCTAATTTTTGTCTGCCCTAAGGGGGAGAAAATAATGGGAAAGTTTCCAATGTAAAAATATAAGCATCAATAGTGACAGCAGATGTCCAAGACTGTTAGACTTATGCAAGGGTCTTCCAGCTCCATCACATTAACTCAGTCACCATCATTCTCCAGATGACATCAGTATTTGCTACTATGAATTAAAATAAAATAGTTCTGGCAGGATGTGTAGCTAACTGCTGGAACACTTGACTAGCACTTGAGGTCCTGGATTCAATTTCCAGCACTATCAGAATATAAAAACGTAGTTCTGTTATCAATGATTTAATTTTGAGCTGAGTGAAAAGTGAATCTGAAGGGAAATTTCCACATTTAAAGATAAGGTTAAAGCCTGGATGTGGGTTTCATTCCTTCAGACAGTGGTTAGCTGGAACTAGCACCTCATTTTCTCACTCCTCCATCTGAAATAGGCTCCTTTTAATGTTCTATTGTTATAGACAACACAATCGTATAAATCTGCTTTTTTGGGGAAATATTCTTAAACGAAGATTTACATAAATTTAAGGCTTCTGATTAACTAGTACACAATTTTCCTCCCTTCCTCTCCCCACTTCTCTCCCCCAGCTTTCACAGTCTTGCTATGTAGCCCAGGCTGGCGTCAAGCTTGAGGTCCTCTTGTCCCAGCTTCCTGAGCACTGAGATCACACAAGGAGCCAACAAGCTGCCTGTCTCGTCCGCAGTTGCTCACTATCTTGTCAGCGCACAAGAATCCTTCCTACTCCATCACCAGCCTAGAGTGTCCTTTACTGTCTTTATCATTTCATGTCTGTGTTCTCCTGTCCATAGCTTTTCTTATCATTCTCAAGTTGTCCATTTACGTGTATACAGGACACTATAAATATCACATCAGTCATTTCCCAAATAATGTTAACTTTTCACACACTGAGCCACTTGCCTGGTTTCGTGTTGAGGAGTACTCAGGATTGACCGGAAGAAAGGGGACGACGGTTGTCTCGGTTACCAGGGTGCTGTGGTTTTGCGTGGCAAGCCAAACTAGCCGGAGGAAAAGAGCCAGAGACAGAATCTCATCACACCTGTAGAGCTCCACTGGGAGGCATGGCTCACACACTACAAGGGAGACTTGGGGAAGCACACTCCGAAGCCAACACACACAAAAGTACATATCAACACATAGGTTATGAGGACAGTAGCAACTGGGCAAGTAAAACACAGGCTGGCAGCTTGCCACCTCCCACTGAGAACAGAAGCTTAGTAAAGCTGCATGTTAAGTCACCTGCATCAGTCTCTCGCCTGTCAACTTCATCGTACACATCCATGGCAAGTTCTTCAAACAAATGATTACTTAGCTGAAAGTAAAAATATCAGGAACACAAGGGACAACAATTAACACCAGGAGGATTCCTGTGATGCATGCAGTCACCCTTTATCTCAGTGTCTTATTCAAAGCCAGTGCCTAGTGAATGCCTTCCACCTCAGTTTGACACTGAGCAGCTGTGATCTCTCTGCTGATTGCTTTGTGTTCTGATGGCACATGCTAACTTGTCACACTGCCACTCTGTGCTGTGCCTGACATTTGCAGGGATATCACTTAGATGAACCTAGAGGTCTTTAATTTGACATTTTTTTTTTAAACACTGGTTACAGGGCCCTCAGAGAAACGCAGGAAATGCCTAGAACACCCTTCAGGGTTAAAAAAACAAAAACAAAAACAGGGCATGAAATTCTGGCATATAATTTTCAGAAGGAAAAAAAAAGAGATACAAATAGGTACAAATTGGAAATAAAAACTGAAGGAAATACACCAAGGCACTGAGCCCGAGTTCAGACAGTGGTGACTGAGGACGAGTTCGTCTCCTTTTAACTTTCACACTGTATCCACACTACACTCATTGTTCGAAATAAACCCTGTAGAGCCTTGCCAGGGAATACAAGGAAGTCTGGGAGTTTGAACATGCTTGAGAATCATCGAGTTTCTACCTCCAAGGACTGTCCTACAAGCTGTTTTGTTATCATTAATGGCATCACGACCCACGCTGCTGAGGGCCTGCCTCTTAGACATGGTGCAAACAGCACACTGTTTAACACCATCAGTGAAGAGAGCATTCACTATTGTCCCATTTTATAGACAAAGAAATTGAGCAACAGACATTACTGGCCTTAAGACGTTAAAAGTGTTAACATTTACTAATCCATTTCTCTCCGATTTTACTAGGGAAGAAAGTGAGGATATGAGACAGACACAGTTAGGGAGAAGAAATGAGAGAGAAGGGTATGTGGGCGAGAAAGATGGTGGTGGTGGATGTTACCCCGGCACTGTTAAGAGCAGTCCCTATGAGAAGCAGCCCCTGGGACATCCTCTTTCCCAGCATCCCTCTGGAGAGGAGGTTCTGTGCTTGCAGGGCTGAGGGTGAGCTCGGCTGTGGAGCCTGACACCCAGCCTAAGGTCTTTAGGGCATATTAAACTCTGTCTGAGGTGTTTATTTGATGCCTGTCCCATGTTAGGTAAGATAGACAAGCTCGGGTTTCCTGTGGCATCCAGCCTAGCTGACAGTCAGGAGACTGTCTGTATGTCTGCCAGCTATGTATAACAGACATTTGCTTACAGACGACCAGTAATTAAAGGAAAGCACATACTCCTGTGCTGCCTAAAAAACTCAACATTTCATTTACTTTACTATATGGCCGCCTGAGTTTAAGAAAGGCATTAAAACACACAAACACACAAACTGCAGATACAGAACACAGAGACACCAAACAAATTGCATAAAACACATTTATTTCACAATACAGTTAAATACTATTAAGAATAAATTTACTTTATGTGATACTTAATGATACTGTATGAGGTTCTAAAGGGTCTCTTGTGAAAAGGGGAAGGAAGGGGAAATCACAAATCAGGGAAGGTGGACTTTATCTACACCTCAGAGGTGCTTAGGCTCCACAAGTGCTAAGAGGAATGGGAACTAGGCAAGGAAAATGTGCAGGAACAGAGTCCTGGAGCGGGGCTCGAAGGAGGTTACTTTTGGCTTCAGAGAGCTGATTCACAGAGCCACCCCAACAGTGCATGCACACCTAACCAGACAGGAAGTGACACTGTGCTGAAGGGCCCTTAAAGGTAACAAAAAAATAAAAAAAAAAAAACAACCCCAACAACAACAACAACAAAATGAAAAACAAAACAAAACAAAAAACCCCAAACCGCAAGGGATCTTGGTTCTGATCCAGGGAGCACTGAGAAGAGGTAAGGAGTCACAAGGGGACCAATAAACACCTGGTGAGCTTCATGGAAAGACTGACAAAGGGGAATCACTCTCCCAGGGCATCTTCAAATACAAAGATTATGTGACCGACAGGCCTAGGTCCAGACCATCAACTTTCAGAAGCGTAAATTTAAAAAGCTCTAAGGAATGGCATACAATGGGCAAGAGAGAGTCCAGAGCACTCCAGTGGATGAATGCACCGACTCGCTGCCCTGGCAGTGTCAGCGACTGCTATTCCTTAGTGTCCCGTCCCATGTGACTAACGGAAGAAATTCCATGGAAGGCCATCTCACTCACTCCAGTACCCAGAGAAATACCCAGAAATCTGGTAGAAAACAATATCCAACTACCACAGGCAGGGGCTGCATTTTTAATACAAGAGAGAAGAACACAGATTGTCTGAAGTAGTCAGTGGACTTGGATAGACTCAAGAGTTTTTGGTCTTCACTGCTACATATAGACCTGACTGACAGCCTCCTTTTGATTCAACAATCATCTGATATAAGAGTTAACTCAGACTGACAATAGGGGACCAGCAGAGTTTCCATGCTGGGGTTCACCAGGAAGAGATACTCACAGACTGAAGCTTCTTCTTGGCAGCTTTTGCCAACTCAGACACATCCAGGCTGCTGCGGAAATGCACAAAACCATTAAGCAAGTAAAGAGAAGCTGTGACCTCTACAAGATTAAGATGTGCAAGGGATGAAATACGACGGTTCATGGAACCGTCAGAGCCAAGCATTCTGTAGTCAAAGAGTCATTGAAGAGACTGGAACAATTTGGCCAGTGACTCCTTGAAACCCAGCAGGCAGGTAATGTTAAAAGGAAAGGCACTGGCCCACAACTGAATGATAAAAGCTACGGTTCGGTTCATCTCTAAGCCTTGGGGTGTGGCTTAGTGGTAAAACATTTGTATAATGTGTGAGCCGCTTAGTTACATCCATAGCACAAAGGAAAAAAAAAAAAAGGCAAAATAAAAAGGAAAATGGAGAAGAAAACTGGAAAGCCAGAAAGACAAGAGCACAGTTGGAAGAGCAGGGTCTGTTTGTGCACCACCCTGGCAGTAGGGCCCAGTGCTACAGGGTCCTCTGCTGTGGCTGGGACGGTTGGGGGCAGCAGGCTAGGGCTTTTTTTTGCTCAGCTAATGAACTAAGGATGATTTTTATATTTTTAAGCATTTTGGATAGAGAAGGAAAAAAGAACATTCATTTCTCAAGATGTAAAAATTTGAGTTTCAGCAGCCGGCCTGTCATCTTAAGAGCTTGCTGACACTTTCTAGAGGAGAAGCTGACAGCTGTGGCAGGGGTCACAGCTGACAGAGCTTAACATATTTCCTGGTCCTTGACAAAATTGTTTGCCAACCCCGATTATAGGCCAAGAATATCAGCTCTTCTCTTATGACACAGAAAAACTTGTGAATATGACCTATCAACACAAACACCAGGACAACTGGCCAAATAGTGGCAACAGCATTACTGGCTCCAACTCCTTATTAGTGTTTCTGGGATCTGTGCTCTTTCCAAGTTAAGTTTCACATGGTGGTTTACTTACAGCCGTCTTATTTCCAAAGTGTATAGCCATAAAAGAGAAAAATGTATGGGCTCTGTTAAACACAAAATATAATACACTTACATACTGCAAACCAAGGCAATGCTGGGCAGATAAACTGGTTCTTACCTGTCTGCCATTTGAGGGATTATAAAGTGCTGCCCATTTTTGTGATCTGAAACAGAAATCAAAGTTTTGCTCATGTCAATATTGAGATATATAAAAGAGTGCTACATTTTTTATTTTCAGTTTAAATTTTCCAATTAGTCATTTTTCATAATCATGGGGAAACAGAGAAGTTCTGAGATTGGCTACAAGTTCCCTGAAACCCGGCCAGTTCCAGACATCATTAGACAGAAAACCTATGCTGATTAGCTCACCCCAGAAAAACTGACAGAAGAATGCTGAGGGAGGCTCCATCAGCTCCTGGTGGCAGATGGCAGAGCTGCACTAAGCCTGGGAGAGTTCAGGGCTAGGGCAGGGGTGCTTTGCATGCGGACCCAGAGTGACTCCACCTTGCCATCTGCTAAGCAGCTCTGCCCTAATCTAGATTTCTAGAACAAAATTCACATTCCAGTGAACAAACCACGGCAAACACTTCTGAGGTTTTTGTGTACACTCCGTCCACCCTTAGGCCATGCCTGGGTGCGGGGCACACGGTAAATGAGCATCTTACTTGGGAGGAAGCTGCTATTCATTTAGTAGCTCTGCTGTTCTATATATTCTGAACAGCAAGCACATGCTGGCACAGCAGTAGTTAAGGAAGAAGGACCCACCTGAGCTACACTGCAAGACTGCATCTCCTAAAGACAAACACTCTCTTCAGTGTTGTCCTCAGCAATGTACAAAACTTACAGTTGCTCCATATTTTTCCCCAAATTATACTACTAGTTCTGGGGCAGCATCACACTGTGGTTTTAATTTGCATTTCTGTAAAGGCTAATGATGCTAATCTTCATGTGCTTGGTTTTTTGTTTGTTTTGAGTTTAGCCAATTACACACCACCTTCAGGTTTTGTTTTTCTCTTTTTCATCTCTTTGAGATGGTCTTTATTGCCAGGGCACAGGAAATGGCCCACAGCTCAGGGAGATCGCGCAGCAGGTAAAACCTCTAGCTGTAGAAGTCTGACAACTCAAGCCTCAGATGTGGTGGCAAACGCACACACACATGCAGGGAGGTGGGAGATGGAGACAGGAGACTGCCTCGAAGCGCCTGAGTCAGCTAGCTTGAGTACAGTGCACAGACAAGAAAGCCTCAAGCTCAACAAAGAGGAGAGAAATGACTTCAGAACATTGGCCCAGGTGTATACATACTCTTGCACATACATGGGCATGGTATTGCTTGTCTATAATCCCAGCCCTTAGGAGGATGATCGGAGTTCAAGGTCATCTTTGAACACATAGCAAATTAGAGACATGCCTAACTTAATAAAATTGTTTACTTTTTTCTTCTTTAAAAAAAATTATTTTTATGTGTATACATGTTTTCCTGGCATACCACAAGGGTGGCTTGTATTCACAGAGCTCAATAGGTCAACAGATTTCCTGGAACTGGAGTTGTAGGCAGTTATGAGCCGACATATGGGTGCTGGGGATGGAACCCAGGCCCTCTGCAAGAGCAGCAAATACTGAGCCATTTCTCTATCACTCCCATTCTGGCCTGCTTTCAGACAGAAAAGAGTATAGTCCTGTGTAGTTCTGGCTGGCCTGGAACTCATGAGATCCTCCTGCTTCTGTCTCCCACATGCTGAGATTAAAGGTGTGCACCACCACAGACTACTCGAGAGCTTGTTTTCAAAAATATAATAAAAATAAATGATTCCTCTAAGAAAAGATGACTACATTCTTTGACTCAGTCTTAACTAGCACTGCTGGCTCCTCTTGCGTGCAGTCAGGCGTGCAGATTCCTTATAGCAGGAGTATGTCTGAAAAGTATGGCGAGAACCTATCTGTGCCTAGCCCAGTTGTCATCAGAGAAACTTCCACCAGCAGCTGATGGGAGCAGATGTAGAGACCCACAGCCAAACAATAGGCAGAGAGAGCGCCCAAATTGGAGATCTCCATTGGGTCCTTCCCCTTGGAGCTTGGGGAATCCCCCAGAAGAGGGGAAGACCTGTAGGAGCCAGAGGGGTTAAGGACACCAGGAAAACATGGCCCACAGAATCAACTAAGCAGGGCTCATAGGGGCTCACAGAGACCACAGTGATGATCATGGAGCCTGTACTCATCTGCGCTAAGTTCTCTGCTTGTGTGTTATGGTTGCTAGCCTGGTGTTCTGTGGGATTCCTAAAAGTGGGGGTGTCTCAGACTCTTTTGCCTGCTCTTAAACATTTTCCTCCTATTGGGTTGCCCCCACCTAGCCCTGATAGGAGGATTTGTGCCTAGTCTTATTGTATGTATCTTGTTATCCCACATTTACTTGATATTCTGGGAGGCCTTTTCCTTTCTGAAGGGAAACAGAGGAGGAGTGGATCCGCGGGAGAGGAAACTGCAGTCAGGATGTTCTGTGGAATAGAATTATTTATGTAAAGATGTGTTACTTTTGTTTATGTTGCAGAATATTACTTTAACGATGTAAAGATGTGTTGCATCTGTTTAACGATGTAAAGATGTGTTGCTTTGCCTGCCTAAGGCACCTGACTGGTCTAATAAAAAGCTGAATGGCCAAGAACTAAGCAGTACAGGGATAGGTAGGGCTGGTGAGCAGAGAGAATAAGTAGGAGAAGGACTCTAGGATGGGGAAAGAGAAAGGGGAGAAAGAGAGGGAGAGGCCTGGGGCTAGTCAGCCAGCTGCCAGACAGCCAGGCGCAGAATGACATACAGAATGAAAGGTAAAAAGCCCTGAAGCAAAATGCAGATGAAGAGAAACAGGTTGATTTACGTTCAAAAAGTTAGTAGGACAAGCATAAAATAAGGCTGAGCATTCATAATTAATAATATCTCCATGTCATGATTTGAGAGCTGGCTGGCGGTCCAAGAAAGTCTGCTACAAGGATGTATTGTATGAGAGAAAAATAAAGGAAAAGAACTGATCCTTCCTCAGCCTCCCACTGCAGGTGCTGCTGATCTGTTGTGCCCAGCACTGCTTGGGTTGACCTTTAGTTTTTAAATGTCCTTCATGCACATTCTTACTGAAAATGTGATTTCCAAACCCAGCAGTGTTGGTACACACCTTTATTCCCAGCACTCAGGAGGCAGAGGCAGGCAGATCTCTAAGAGTTCCAGGCCATCCTGGTCTACAGAGTGAGTTCCAGAACAGACAGGGTTACACGGAAAAACCCTGTCTTGAAAAACCAAAAAAAAGAAAGAAAGAAAATGTGATTTCCAAATACTTCCTTCCAATATCTGCTTAACTTTTCACTCTTAATTCTTTTGGTTTGGAGGCCAGGTGTGATGGTGCATACCTTTTCCAGAACTAGAGGGCCCAGGCGAGACGAAGAGGACTATGTGACTTTGATGCCAACCTAGTACTGGACTGGGTGAGGAGCTCAAGAAACAAAGTGGGTAAGTAATGAGAGTGAGTGCTTTTGACAAAACCCAAATTATTAATTGAACAAAACAAAAATCTATGAACTTTAAACCAGGATCACGAGACCCCCTCCTCAGTCTATAGCTTTAGGCCCTTTAATTGGCTCTCTAGCCGAGATCCTACTGGTGTGAAGCTTGGTGCACGTTCACTTCCCTGCATACGGAGTGCAGTTGCTCCTATAAGGCAATATCACACACACTCGCACTAAAAAATAAAGGAAATATGATTTGGAGCTGTTGATTTTATTCTGTAATCTTCCTATACTCTTAGTTTTAGAAATTTTCTTGTAGGTTCCTTGGGATTTCCACATAGATATTATCTCACTTGAGTGGGGAAAGTTTTATTTCTTCCTTTTTCAGCTTCTATGGGAGGGAGGGTGTCTGGACTTTCACTGAGTAGGAGTGGTGAGAACAGATACTGGCCTCAGGAGAGCAGCTGGTTCTCTGGGCAATCATGACCAGTTAAGCAAGCTCCATCTGTTTCTGGTTTGCTAATTTTTTTTTAAATTATGAATGGATGTTGAATTTGGCCAAATACCTTTTTTATACCCACTGACTACTACATAAGTTTTGCTTTGTAGTTTATTAATGCCCTGATTTTCTCTTTTAAAAAGATTTTTTTTTAAAAAAATTTGAGTGTATGAGTGCTTTGTCTGCGAGTGTGTATGGGTACTACGTGGGTACCTGTGTGCCCAAGGTCAGAAGACGGTGCCAGATGCTGTGAAAATGGAATCACAGAAGGATGAGAGCAACTTGAGGGTGCTGGGACCTGAACCTGGGTCCCCTTAATCACCAAGCCACCTTTTAGTTACATTAACTGTCTTCCAGTAAATTTGTTCCAGTGGCTATGTTGTACTTTTTTTCTTTTTACACATTTCTAGATTTACTGTGCTAAAATCTGCCAAGGGTTCTTGTCTCTGTTTATTGGGACCCTCCCATACTCCATTCTTTCTTTTTGCTAGGTTTGGTATCTCACTAATCCACTAACATGCACCGAGAAGTAGTCTTGCTCTTCTTCCTCTTTCCTGAAGAGTTTTATTCTTTTTTATGTGTGAGTCTTTTGCCTGAATACATCTAGACCACTTCTGTGCCTGGGGCCCATGGAAGCCAGAAAAGGATATGGACTCCTTTGGAACTGGAATTACACATGGTAAGGGGATGGAAAGAAGGCTCAGTGGCTAAGAGAACTGGCTATTCTTCCAGAGGACTGGGGTTCAATTCCTAGTACCCACATGGCAGTTGACAACTGTCTGTAACTCCAGTTCTAGGGGATCTAATACCAATGCACATAAAACAAAGTTAAATACATTATTAAACAAAAAAAAATACCACTTGGCTGTGAGTTGCCAAATGGGTGCTGGGAAAGAACCCCCGTCCTCTGGAAGAGTGGCCAGTGCTCTTAACTTGTGAGCTTAACTGCTGAGCCATCTCTCCAGCCCTTTTCCTATCTTTTGAACCTGGGGTTTATGTTGAGGTATAAATTCAAATTCTTGAACAATACAGATTTTCAGGGTTGGAAACTCAGTCAAGTATTAGAATGTTTGCCTAGCATGCATGAAACCTGATGCCCTGGGTTTGGTCCCCAGCACTGCAAAAAGGGATTAGGGAGGAAATGTGTGTAAGTGTAAATGAATATACATTTAAGAAT